TTTAAACCATATAAATTTCAAACAATCATAACACTCCATACAAATTTCATAGGTATTAAATAATTGCAAAAAAATAATTATAAAATTCGTATTTAAGGGTGCCTTTGCCACGAATGCTTTTGATAATTTTAACAAGATTTTCAGTTTTATCGATCGGCACCCAGTTGTCTAAGATACTATATTTTTTTTTCATATCGGTAAATCATACCCAGGGACGAATTTTAGTTGAACCTTAAAATTTTGACGTTAGTTAGCATAAATCTGAAATTTTAATAACATATTTTTTTTTTACGTAGTTATAGTGAAAATATAAAACTCAGATTTAAATAATTTAATCCAAAAACTACGAGATTTTACTGCAATAGCATTAACTTTTCCAATCAACTCTGCTACTTGTAAAAGGCCATTTTCCGCCATGCGAATATTGAAGACATAGATGAGAATATGAGATCAAAAATTCTACGATTTAGTAGGGTTGATTAAGAGAGGACACTACACGGCCATTATATTGTTGTCTTCATGAGAACACGTTGAGCTCCATTAGTTTAAAAATTGGAGTAAATCGACCTATTATGAAACTTGATGGTATGAATATTATCTGCTTTTTTTATTACAATATTTAAATTTTTTAGCAAGGTATGTGTATATAATATCTCCAAAAAAAACTTCGGAGAAGTAAAACAAGTCTTCTGTGCTTTACTTAAATGGATTGGAGTACTTGAATTTTGAGGTAAATAAAAAATTGAAATCAATATCAAAATTCTGTGCTTAGTAGGTGCAAGAGAGAGTATAAAGAAAGTTCCTGTTAAAATTGTGGTAAATAAAGAAGTGAAATCAAACCTCAAAATTCTGTGCTAAAACTTAATTGACTATTGAAGAAAATTCGATGACATGCAATTTTACCACATTTTTAGCTACAAAAAAAAATTGCACAGAACGTTCCACATTTGCCCGCAAAAATTCACATGTCCATGGATGCACTTCGTTCTGTGCAATTTTTTTTTGTAGCTAAAAATGTGGTAAAATTGCATGTCATCGAATTTTCTTCAATAGTCAATTAAGTTTTAGCACAGAATTTTGAGGTTTGATTTCACTTCTTTATTTACCACAATTTTAACAGGAACTTTCTTTATACTCTCTCTTGCACCTACTAAGCACAGAATTTTGATATTGATTTCAATTTTTTATTTACCTCAAAATTCAAGTACTCCAATCCATTTAAGTAAAGCACAGAAGACTTGTTTTACTTCTCCGAAGTTTTTTTTGGTGATTTCAACTATTTTTCTGAAGCAAGAGACATTAATTCTATATTGATAATGGTACTTTCCTGTTATACGACTATACGAGACTACGGCTGTTATCGAGACTACCACCCAACACTACCTCCGTTGTCGAGACTACCGCACTTATTTTGTGAAACATCACAATCCTGTTATCTAAGACTACCAAAATGGTACTTCCTGTTATACGTGACCACCTTTATTTTTCTTGCCTTCTTTGATAGATTTTTTAATAATATGTATTTTGGGGATGGCCAGAATGAAATAAAGAAAACATTTAAATACATAGTAATTATTCGTAATGTATTTTACATGTTACACGTCAAAGTGCCAAATTTGGCGCGATGTATGGAAAACAATAAATTAATAATAATAATACAAAATGGTGAATCCACAAATAAAATATTAAATAATTTAGGTACGTACTGTGGGGATGGCCACATTCAAATTATATAAAAAAAAATGTAATACATAATAATTATTTGTAATGTACCAAATTTGTCGCGGCATACGGAAAACAATAAAATAATAAAATAATAATAATAATACAAAATGATAAATCCACAAATATAATAAATATAATCGCAGCTTATGGATATCGTTCGACTATAATGTCAGCTAAATAAGATAGGTAGTCGCCATAACGGAGGTAGTCTTTGGTGGAAGTCGCGATAATAGCCGTAGTCTCGTATAACAGGAAAGTATAATTTTGGTAGTATTAGATAACAGGATTGTGATGTTCTCAAAAAACAGGGTAGTCTAGTATAACAGGAAAGTACCTTGATAATCTATTCTATAATTATATATTATTTCTCTTCTAATACTAATATGTGAGCAATTTTTGAATTGATCGGCCATGGTCTTTTAATTAGTAGTTTATGCAGTACTTGCATAAAATACGGACTCCGCGAGACAGCAGAGAAAGATTAACATACGGCCGACCGTCGGTACGTTTATCACTGTTATTGTAATAATGTACGCCGTACGGATGGTAATAAATAATAATCGAACGGACGGACAATATAGCTACAGTGCTACACACAACCTGCAGCACGGCGGATAGTGAGCAAATGAAATAGTAATAGGAATTAGGAATTAGGAATTAGGAGTAGGAATCGCGTTGCGGAGTGCGCTATGCCACACTGCCGCGCCGCCGTGCAACCAAGGTCACGCACTCACGCATGCGCATATCGTCACAACTCAACGCGGTATTGCGAAAGCGAAAAACTAGTAAATTCGACCGATCTCCATATACGTTGCATGTAAAAATCAAAATATCGTCCGTTTTCCTGTATATATATCTCTCTGTTCACTCTGTGCTACGACACCGGGCCGCCGTAAAGCACAGAACGCTCTCTAGCGAGATCTATCGATAGCGTAAATTAAAAAAGCTCATAACTCACTTAAAAACTGAACTAGCGTAAAAAAACCCACTTAAAAACACAGATAATTTTCTTACCATCAAGTTTCATAATAGGTCAATTCATTTTAGTTTTTAAACTAACCGAGTTAAACGTGATCTGCTGACCGTAAATTTGCTATGTTATGCACTTGTAGGACAGAGACAACAGATATCCGTACAGTGTCTTAATATTGACAAATTATCAGTAATCAGTATTGAATGTCTTTGCTAACTCCATCAGAAGAGTCAATTTTATATGGTGTTTACCTACCTATTAATTAAATATATATAAATATTAAGTAATATTTTTATTTGATGTGCCCCAGTGTGGAAGATTTTTTTTTGTTAAAATATTAAATGACTTGATCTCTGTCAATCTAATTCTCGATTTGCATCTATGGGCCAATGTCTATTATAGCCAGCAATTCATATTCTATCATACAACTGTAGCCTACAATTAGGGTGTGGAAGTTAATGGGTGTTAACATTGACAAAATTTCTGAAAACATAATAAAATATAATTAATGTATAGCCGAAAGGGATTTTATTTTTTAATCTTTAGATCAATGTGCATTCAGTTTTAGGTGAAATATAAAATATGTAATGATAAATGTTAGATAGATCAAAATCACAACATACTCTCATAAATAAAATCAAGTACCTAATTGTTTTTAAATTAATGAATTTTATGTAAAATTAGAATTTTTATTGAAATGAATTAATTTTTAAAAGGTTCTAATGCAGTTTAAATACACAAAGTTTGGTTTACGTTGGATAAAATTAAAAATAATAGTGTAATATAACAGTTAGAGCAGGGATTGTAACCTTTATGTTTTTTTCGGTTTCGGTTTCGTTTCGGTTTTTCAAAAAAATATTTTTAAGGTTTCGGTTTTAATTATAAATTTCAAAAATATGAAATTGAGGTTGCGGTTACGGTTGTGGTTTATACCGGTTTTAACCTGTTACAAAAAAAAAAAATATTTTAAAATTTTAAGCGATTATAGAACCGTACTAATACAACCAAAAAATATGTATAGGTACCTACAGATAAACCTGGTAGTTTTCAACCAAGTCTAGGGATAGACAGCTCTTTTAACAATCAAAAACCGTATGATAACATATATTCCAACCTAAAATTACAACTAACAAACTTATGCTTTAGTATTTACATTTTTACTTAATTAACAATTATTGTTGTAAACTTCATTAATGTGTTGACTATTTACAACAGAGACGATTAAAATTTCACCACAACTCAATACAAAAACTTTCAGATGATTGATGTTGATTGTTGAGAGTAAAGATTCTAAATTGGAAGGTAGGCGTAGCACTCATTTTGGTTTAATATTAATACTTATTAGTATTATAATTCTCAAATAACAGTGCCGAGGCCTAAGAGTCTATTATGATTTAGGTTGAGACTTAAAAATTAATAAAATATAATACATATTTTATAAGCTTTCTTTTACAAGATTTTATATTTTAACAATATAATAATAATTTTTATATTCATAAAATACATATTATTATAATGTAACCATACTATTTTTTTTTGCGTTTTGAAGATGGGTTAGTAGTTCCAGATGTTTCAGTATGACTTCCTTCCCCTTGACTCATAGTGACCTAACCGAAAAAAACCTTTAAAAACCGAAAAAATTGAACTTTAAAAATTAGGGTTAGGGTTTTGGTTAGGTTTTTTAAACGTTTGAAAATAATGGTTTCGGTTAAGTTACGGTTAATAATTAACACAAGGTTCCCGGTTCTATAACCGGTTATTTTCGGTCCGGTTACAGTCCCTGAGTTAGAGTTTATCTAATCTGTGATAGACTAGTCTAGTTTTGGTGAGTAATTGTAATAAATAGTAAGTAAATAAATTGCATAAGTCAAAATTAAAATTGTTGTATTTATGAACATAATTTTTAGTTTTATTAACAACAGATAAAAACAAAATAATATAACGACAACAAATGTATGATAGTTTCTAGAAAGAATTTAATTAACTTTTCTGAACTCTACAGCTTTGTTAAAAAGTTAACATCATGATCAATAATAATAAAAAAAATATTCACAAGTAAAATTGTAAAATCAATACATTTATTTCCCTGCTTAGAATTTAAAGTACATGAGATATATGCATCATAGACAATAGATCCACAAATTTTCAATTTTATATTTCAGTAACACATTATAATATAAGCCATGATACATACAATACAATTATTAAGTTAAAATAATGGGGTCTAAAACTTGTCGACTGAAATAACTAAACTTGGTTGTATACTTTTAGTTTTTACATTAGATAGTCTACAATTATCAACATGGACATTGCACAAAATGTAGGAGAAGCGTTGCTCGACCATAATTATGCCAATTTAGATAGGCAAATTATACAACAGCATTTAGTTGACCACATCTACAACATGCCAGGTTTGAATTAATAGATTCATTAAATATAATTCAAACATATTATATATTATTCAAATCAATATTATGTTATTCTTTAGTTCAAGATGATTCGAGTTCTGAAAGTGAAGTTGAAGGTAAAAATCATGAAATGGGTTAGAAAATTATATTTTTAACATTACCTATTAATTATTCTTTATACATTTACATTTTAGAAGATATAGATATACCAATAGGAATTCACACTACTTATAGATGCATTCCAGGGGTCCACGACAAGTCTAATGTTTACATAGACAATCTCCATTACAAATATTACAAGAAGAGCGTCGTTAGAAATAAAATGTTAGAATGTGTTTGTTAGGAAAATAACAAAATTAATATTTACCTAATTATGTTTCTATTTTGAATACATCAGGTACCTTATTTGTGAAAAGCAAAGGAATAAAAAACCTGATGAATTCTGTTCAGCCACAGCAATAGTTAATTTAGATGATGCTGAGAACCACATTCATGTTCAACCTGGTGGACACAATCATGATGTGGTTGAAAAAGATTTAAATATGCCCTTCCTTAGGAGAGATATAGGTAGAAAGGCAATACAATTAGGATCCATGTCAGTCCCTAGCAGGCATTTATACAATGAAGAAATTGTTAAGTATGGATATATTTATTAACAATATTATGATTGAATATAATATACCAAATGATTTTTGTTTCCAGTCATCCCCTCGGTGCTTACAATTACACATTTCTTCAAGCCAAGATGAGATGCAAGAGAATGCGCAAGAATCAGCGACCAAAGATTCCAAGAACGATACAAGAATTTGCGCAACAACTTAATATGCCAGAAAATAACGCCTATAGCACAACCCTCCAAGAACAGCCATCTGTATTCTTCCAACAACCACTGATTGTTGGTGGTGTTTATGTTGGAGTTATTTTTCCCAATTTAAACTTTGTGAATAGATTTCAAGAGGAACTAGGCCAGGTGACGTCTTCGGGTTGTGATGGTACATTCAAAACTGTACCCAGTAGTCCTAAACAGTTACGGAATGGTACACTTATGACATTTCAAGTGGTTTACGAAAATGCTGTAAGTTAATTGTACTAAAAATATTAAATTAAAGATTAAATTCAAATGAAAATTGCTTATAGTCATTTCCAATGGTCTATGCCCTGTTGTCCAGTGGCAGTGCCACAGAAGAAACATTTACAGCATTTTTTAGAGTAGTCCGGAACATTCTTCCATTAAATTATGAAGAATTGACGATCATTACGGACTACGAACGCGCACTTATGAATGCTGTACAGACTGTGTTTCCAGAGAGCCGACTCCAATTTTTGCTGGTTCCATTACTGCCAAGTATGATAGACAATTAAACAATTGATTTAAAGTTATTTTAGATATTTTAATTCAAAACCTTAAGTAAAATTATACTTTATTTATTTTCTGACATAAAAAATATTTATTTTTTTCCAGTCAATAGTAAGGTATTGCCGTCGAAAATACAATTTGGTGTACAATTTGATCAGGACAAATGAAATTGTTATACGCATGGTATTAACTATTTTTAATAATTGTAAAAAAAAAAGGTATCATAAATCATTAGGTATAATATGTATAGTATATAATATTACTTTAAGGTTTTAGCATTGGCTCATCTTCCAGCTGCAAGAGGTCATCCAAATTGTCGATATTTCTGCATTGAAGATGGATTTAGGCAAATAATGGAATATGTCCAACAATATCCAGATATTTATCTACAAATGCAAAACTTTTTAATAGGGTACATTAAAAATTCCTATAATATGAATTAACTGTCACACTTATATGAATTTTCTTGTTTAAATAGTTACATACAGAACTTTTGGCTTCGTACAGTTGGGCCAAATAAGATAAGTGTATATGGTAGTGAAGTAAGGACAAATAATTATCTGGAGTCCTTTCATGCTCAGCTATTGAGGTATATTGGCAAGCATCCAAACATCTGGGACTTTATACGTAAGAAGCACTAAAAATATATGAGTTCATAACTATAGATTAAAATATAATATAATCCTATATTTAATTATGCCTTATTATCTTACTTTGTATAGTAAAGGGATATATGATAATGTAGGTATAAGGACGGTTTGTAATGAATGTAGACACTTTTATGGTAACGACAACACGTTTATTAAGTACGATATAATAATACGAGTATATAGACACTATATAATTATATCGCGGATCTACTCGTTCGACATGTGCGACGTTGTCAAAGGTCCGGCGAAAGCTGCCACCCGTCGCCACCGACGCTGGCCGGGCCGGCGGCCGTGCCGCAGGCGGCGGCCAGACCGGTTGTCGGTCGCGATCTCGCGGACGTCGATAGAGACACCGCGGCCGTTGCGATAACGACCGCGACATACTCCCCCCCGAGTCCACGAGACGCGCCCGAACAACCAGACTACTCCGGGTCGGTGTGCGGGGCCTCGGACGTCACCTCCATGGACTCGATCCATTGCTCCACGATGGCCAGCTGTCGCTCCTGGGAGTCGGCTGGCGGAGCTAACGGTTGCGGCGTGGGTGACGGCTGGGTCGGCTGCTGCACCGGTGGTTCTGCAGGCTGTGGCTGCACTACTGGCTGCGGGGCCGGCTGCGGAGCTGGCGGTTGCACTGCGGGCTGAGGCTGGAACCGCCCCCGCCTATCCCGCACATCGTGGCGTTGGTACGCCGGCGCCGCTCGGCGGGGTGGTGCCCTCCCGGGAGGTCCTGCCCGAGTCCTGGCAACTTCTGGCTGCGGGGTGTTAGCCCGCGTAGACCGACGTCCCTCGGCGAACCCCCGCTCGAACAGAGCCCACGCCGTCGGGCTAGCCCGGATCCGGCCAAATGACGCGGTGGCCGCGCGTTCAGCCGACCAACCGCTCACCGTGTCCTCCGGTCCATCCCCGGAAAGCCTCCTGGCTTCTCGGAGCAGCTGCCCGGCCATGGCTCGCAGCTTCTCCACGTGGGCGGCAATCATGCCACGGGATGGCCGGTGGTTGCGGTTTGGTGGTGGAGGGTTTAATCGTTCTGCCATCTGAAACAAAGTATGATTAGTTAGTGTTCTCTGACGGTCCTACAGCTAGCTTCATCGCTGAGACATGTAACTTAGTAGGGTGTTTACCCTCCGTCAAGAACACTCCGGTCCCTAGTGGCTTACCCAACTTAACCGGACCTAACCATTTCGGGGCGAACCCCGCGTGGAAACGCTTCTCCGCACTTGACTGCGGATGCGCTTTGTAGTATACCCAATCCCCGACTGTCAGATTACTTCTTCCCGGGGATTCTAGGGGTATATGGGTACTGGGGGCTTTGTGGTTGGAGACCACCGGGTTACCCCCCTGTACCACAGTAGCATCATCCGGTTCCACCGGGGAGCCTTCGATTTCTACCGGAGGGTTCCGCACTGCTTCGGACAACTCCGGATCATTTTTGCCCGCGTCCGGAGATCCTTCGGCCAACTCGAGCTGCCAATCTCCGGGGGCCTTGATCTCCCGGCCAAACATCATTTTGGCCGGTGACTGTCCGGTGTTTCGGTTTTCTCTGTTTCTTACGGAGAACAACACGTGCGGCAGGTAGACGTCCCACAGATGATGAGGCTTATCAACAAGTAAGGTTCGGAACCCTTTCTTCAGCTCTTGATTTTGCCTTTCTACCGGGTTGGCACGTGGGTGGTATATTGGAGTCGTCCATCCTTCCACTCCCCACCTCTTTAGTGCGTCTCCCATTGCCTTGGACACAAACTGCGGGCCATTATCTGACAATAATGCCCTCGGGTACCCGAACCGTGGGAACAACTCCCGTTCGAATGTATCCACAATCGATTTGGTCGTCGCCTTTCCTAGTGGGTACGCCTCTACCCAGCGACTGTAACAATCAGTTACTACCAAAATCGTGGTCTTACCCCGCTGCGTTCGTGGGTATGGACCCATAAGATCGATGCTCAGCACCTCCCAAGGTTGCCGGGGGACTCTGGTGCATATCCGATCTTCTGGTTTGCGATTCAGTGGTTTTACACGTGCACAGACGTCGCACGCCCGCACGTAGTTACGCACTGCTTCACGCATACCGGCCCAAAAGAAACGACTCTTTATACTTCGGTACGTTTCTTTCCACCCTGGGTGATTCGCTGCTTCGTGGTCGTGAAACCTTTGTAGTAGAATCTGGGCCTTGTCTACCGGGACGACCACCCCCTCTTCTCCATGCGCGATGGATCGTGGGTGGCGGTGCAACACCTTGTCCCGGATGACGTACAACTTCCGAAGCCGACCGAACCTTGCACCATCTCCGGAGAGTTTAGTAACTATCTCCCTTATGTTCGGGTCGTTTTGTTGCCACTCTCGGACAGCTTGCAATGTGACGTTTCCGTCATTTCTCTTCGGCTGGATCGCTCCACACTGGGTGACACCCACACCGGATCCTCCGGACACGCCGGACAGATCACCGAAGACTCCGGAAGTTCCTCCGGACACTCCGGGCCGAATCACTGGGGGATCGTGGATATTGTTCTCCAACGATTCTTCGTCCACTGTATTCGGTCCCACCGGACAACGGGATAGCGCGTCGGCTGCTTCATTTTCTACTCCGGGTACGTGCCGGATTTCAAAATCGAAAGCCCCGAGTTGCAGCGCCCATCGCGTTAGTTTGCTGTTGGTACAGCGAGCTTGCTGTAACCATCGGAGTGCCGCGTTATCTGTGAATAACATAAACTTACCAGACTCAAGATACGGCCTGAACCTGTCAACCGCCCAAACTATGGCTAGACATTCACGTTCGACTGCCGAGTATCTTCCCTGTGCTGGATTGAGTTTCTTGCTGGCGTAGGAAATGATTTTCCTGTCACCACTCTCCCCCCGCTGGAAGAGCACGGCACCAACTCCGACTTCGCTTGCGTCGGTCTGTAGATTGAATGGCTTACCCGGAAGAGGAGGGCAGAGCCGTGGTGCGGACACCAAAGACTCCTTCAACTTCCGGAACGCCTCTTGCTCAATTTCTGACCAACGCCATTTGGTCCCTTTTGCCAACAGACTCGTGAGTGGTGCTGTGATCTCGGCGTAGTGTGGCACGAACTGACTGTACCAACCACAAACGCCCAACACCCGTAACACGTCTTTTGTCTTCTTTGGAACCGGTAATTCCTGAATTGCCGTCAGTTTCTCCGGTTCCCGGTCTATTCCTTCACCGTCCACGACGTGACCTAGGAATTTGATCTGTGTCACCCCGAATGTACATTTTTTCGGTTGGCACGTCAGACCGTAAGACTGGAGTCGCTCCAAGACTCTCTGCAAGTGGTTTAGATGTTGTTCGGGACTCTCCGAGTATACCACAATATCATCCAAATAAACCAACACAAATTTACCAACTAACCCACGGAAGACTTCGCTTACCAAGCGACAGAATGTGGCGGGGGCGTTTTTAAGTCCAAAAGGCATTACTCTAAACTGGAATAATCCTCTTTGGGTCCTGAACGCCGTGAGTGGACGTGTCTCTGGTGAGAGACCCACTTGCCAATATCCTGATTTCAAATCCATGGTGCTGTAAATCTTCGCTCCACCCATTCCTCGGACCATGTCATGAAGGTCCGGCATCGGGTGAGCGTCCGACTCCGTCTGCATGTTCAAACGGCGATAGTCCACGCAAAACCTACGTGAGCCATCCTTTTTCTTCACGAGTACCACCGGTGCAGCCCATGGAGATATGCTAGGTTCAACAAAACCCTGTTCCTCCATGTCTCGCACCATTTCGGCAATAACCTCGTTTTTCTCTCGGGAGTACCCGTAAGCGTTTAGAGCCACCGGATTTGGATCCTTGAGACGGATCTGGTGCTCTATCACCCGAGTTCTGCCTACCTCTCCGGAGAAAACCTCCGGATATTGGCAAAGGACTTTTTTGACCCGCATACCGTACTCTCCTTCGGGTAATCCTGCGGTTGTTAAGTCCACTCCTACGGTGACCGGAGTTACTGGATTTCTCCAACTCACGGAAACACGTCTTTCTTTCCCCAGGTGGATTATGCAACCGCTATAGTCCCAAGCGACTTGTTGCTCCACGAGGAAATCATGGCCCAGGAAGACATCTCCAATGAGATCGTCTAACACTGCTGCCCTGAAGCTTACCTCCAGATCCACTATCCGGGCCCGAAATTCGGAAAACTCCGTAATTTCTCGGGTCCGACCGTCCGCCATCCGGACAATCTCCGGTTCTTCGGTAAAACTCCGGCCAAACTTCTTTGCCACCCACGGTTTGACGTATGTCCTCGCCGCTTGGGAGTCCAGTAGCGCTACTACTGCCCCGAGTGCAAACTCTAGTTCTATGGCCGGTAACGGAACATCCGTTACTGTAGTTTTCCCCGTTGACACCGTTGCAATGGCTGGAGACTCTAACACTCCGGTCCGTAGACCCCAAAAGCGTTCTCTCAACTCGAACTTTGAGTCCGTATCTGAGTTTCTCCTCTTGCACTTTTCCCGTGGATAAGGAATAAACTCCTCGGAAAAATCTTCGGATGTGACCGGACAAATTAACAACTCCTGTGTTAACTCATCTTGTTCCGCATCACTTGAAATGCTGTCCGCGACATTTTTATTGGAAAGATCCCTCACCTCGGTGAGATTTTCACTTTTGTCCGGAACACTTTCAATCCTAAACGATTTTCCCGACCTGTTGAAAACCCGTTTCCATCACTGAACCATTTACTCGGTCCATTGTCACGAACTGTGGTTCCTTTACCGGAACGTCGTTTTCAATGGGTTTTCTCGGGTGGCCTCGGCGATTTCTCCGGCGTCTCTCCGGAGGCTCGACGGTTTTCACCGGACAACTCCTCACTCCGGAGGTTTCCTTCGGGTGACCAAAGTTTTCCTCCGGAGGAATTACGTTCTTACCAGATTTTACCGGTTCAGAACTCTTTTGGTCCGATTTCCTCGGGCCCTTTCCCGAGTCTCCGGTCCGTAACGCTCCGAAGTTCCGTTGATTCGGGTCAGTTCTTGTAATTTGTGGTTCCTGCTCCGGAACGTTACTCACTGCCCGAGTTGAACTTCGTTGCTTACCACTCTTCGGACGACTCGTGACTTTTTCGCCGGTTACTTCCTGGCCGGTCGGGACCCGGCGGTCCCGCCGGTCGTTTTGGCGTTTCCCGACTCCGACTTTCTTTTCGGACATGCAGCTTGCCAGTGGTCATGACTACCACATACTCTGCATCCTGCTCCCGAAGATAGTCGTTGCTTCGGATTTGGCACTTGGGATTTCTCTGCACTCTCAGCTTTTCGTCTATCCAACCATTTTGACTTTGGTGGTACGCTGGTGCTCACTCCCGCCTTATCCGTAATTACGGCCTTGCTACCATCCAGAACATCGGCAAGCGCTCGTAATTCGCTGAACGATTTCAGTCGCTGTATACGTGCATGAATTCTAAATTCATCACGCATGAGTCCAATCACTGTCATTACCACCGCCTCTTCTGTCAGACCAAGGTTTAACCGCCGATACAACTGGTACTTGTGTAGGACGTACTCCCCCAGTGTTTCGGTCTTGGTCTGAGCGGTGCTCAACAATTCTGATTGCAGACTCGACTGCAACTCGTCCCCGTTGAACTTCTCCAATAGTTCGGACCTGAACTCTTGCCATGGTAAGTCCAACGCTCTCATGGTTCCCCACCATGTTCCTGCCTGAGCCTTCAGCTGAGGAGCCAAAACGGTCACCCATCTAGCCTTGTGGATACCAGTTTCTTCAAGTATTGCCTCGGCCTGGAGCAAAAACCGCACTGGGTCTTCCTCCCTCTTACCGGCAAACTCTGGTATCGACGCACGGGCCATATTCAACTCATTTTGAGGAATGAGCAGGCTATCCGGGAAATGCACGCGTTTTACACCGGAAAAACTACTCCGTAACGCTTCCTCATGACTTCTGCCGGAAACTTCACCGGACACTCCGGACAGATTACCGAAGACTCCGGACATTTCACCGGACACTCCGGACTGGTTACCGGAACCTCCGGAAACACTCCGATTTCTCGGGTTTTCCCCGGTCAATCTGCTCCGTATGTTCGCCCATCGGCTCTCAAAACTCATTTTTTGAGTTTTGACCGGACGATTTTGACTTTCGTCCGAGCAACTCTGATTTGCCCCGGATAAGTCGCTGGTTGATGGTTGTTGGGTATTTCTACGGCATGAGCAACTTGCTTGCTCCACCCGTTCGGTCGACTTGAGCTTTTCTTCGGCTAACTCCCGCTCCAAGCGTTCCACGCTCTCGCTGAGAGTAGCGATTGTCAGTTGCTGCTTGTCGACCGTTGCTTCCAACCCCTCCAGCCTATCTAACATCTGCTCCATAAACTGGTTTATCAAACTCTTTTCAGAGTCGACCTCATCCTCCTCAGTTTGAGCCACCGATGTTTTCCCTTCCGGTACCTGGGCTGACGTCTCGTCAGTTTCCCCAAACCGTACTGATCCTGGATCCAAATTTTCCTTAGCCCTAATATACTCTTCTAATGCTAAGAGTTTATCGGCCTTGGACCCCCCGGTCTCAATACCACGCTTATGTAACTCCCGGTTAATCTCAGCAATAGTTAATTCACCAATGTGTTTCGTACCCATTGTGATTATTAAATTTAACTGCTATTATCTACCTAATTAAAGTACGTTAGATATGAGATTACGTAACTCGGGCTATCGCTGGTAGAGATATGTACTTTCCAATCTATAAATAGCCTAAACCAAGTTTAGCACTGTAGGAATTACGCTAAATTATGCAAATTTTGCTACAATTTACCACCTTAGATTGGACAAGCCCTTAATATTTTATTTATAATAAAAAATCAGAATAAAAAAAAAATATTAGGAACCGGTATGACCAGGACACCTATTGTAGGTTCTTTTAACCCGATATGTGCTAATTTACTTTAATTTACGTAAAATTATTTTTTATTAAAATTAGCACTTACCTTACTCCTGTTCCGACTGCGCCAATGTAGGTATAAGGACGGTTTGTAATGAATGTAGACACTTTTATGGTAACGACAACACGTTTATTAAGTACGATATAATAATACGAGTATATAGACACTATATAATTATATCGCGGATCTACTCGTTCGACATGTGCGACGTTGTCAAAGGTCCGGCGAAAGCTGCCACCCGTCGCCACCGACGCTGGCCGGGCCGGCGGCCGTGCCGCAGGCGGCGGCCAGACCGGTTGTCGGTCGCGATCTCGCGGACGTCGATAGAGACACCGCGGCCGTTGCGATAACGACCGCGACAATAAATTGATGAATGCTACTTAGTACTTACTAAGTTACAACTCTAATTTACATTACCTAATATATTTGTATACATATTTATTTTCAGAAACCTACCAACATTCCCTATTTATGATATACACGTCACTAATTTAATTAACAATAAAATATGTACCATCAAAAGAAGTAAGCTAGCGAAATAATTCAAATGAGTTTTGCGCTGTGTAACATAACTTATACCTACTCTTGGACTTGATACTATTATTGTCAAGTATTAATATTTTTTTCAGTTAGCTATCTAGTAATTAATAATAATTTATGTCTGCTTTAATAATGATATAATGCATAAAGTAATTTAATCATGATTGCCTTTGTACAATTATAAACTAACATTAGGTATCATTATATAAAAAGTACATTTTTTTGTTTATAAGTGTATAATTTTTTATCTAACTGTATTAGTACATGTAGTCAGTGGTGCAACTAGGATTTATTCAAGGAAGCCCAAAAAAGATTGATTTAATTGCTATTTTTTTATTTATTTCCTGAGTATATACATACAGTATATTGCTTAATAAACACAATTATTTTATAATGTATAAGATATCAATGAGTTTTGATGACAATGTTGGGGGAATCTTTAAAAAATAAAAATAAATACTATATTAGCCAGGAGGGCTAACTCAGCCAACTGATGCAAGTTCAAGTACTCATTACAGATTAAATTATTTTCAATGAATTACTACCTATATAATATTATTTAATGTATTGATTTTAATTAATTTCTTTGAATATATTGCCTATTGCTATTTATTTATTTTTAGAAAAACTCAGAATATTGGAAAATCAATTTTATGTTGAATTTATTCAGGCTAGCAGACATTTAACGGTATTACCTTATTCAATTAAATAAATACTTACTCAATGTGAAGTACAGCTTTGAAATATTTTATGTTTTGTACAGATCAGAGATCCCGCTAGTAGACTTAATTGTGCTAGCAATAGTTTGCTTTTACGTACAGCTATTAAGCAACTCAATGAAGATGGTGATGTGTTGTCTTGCCTTAAGAGGATGGGTAATGCTAATGCAGATTATTTGAGAAGGGAGTTGGGTCCACGCCCTCCTCAATAGTCAATAGATCATTTTTATTATTTATTGTGCGTAGGCACCTAATACCTATGTAAAATAAAGTGTTAAAAGTGTAAATATAAATATAAATATTTTTTGTATACATACCTAAAATATTATAATATAATATAGTATTGTTTAAAGTGCGTTTAATTGCTGAACATTTTTTTTTTATTCTTCTCGTAATGTTAAGTGTTTTCCAGTATTGAACTCATAATTTTTACTTATTAAGTTATAAAATGTAAAGCCTTGAAGGCCAAAAGTCAAAACCGTAAAATTACTAATGAGTAATGAGTAGAAATGACGGTTAAATATTAAATAACGGTTAACTAGCAACTACATAAATAATAAATATAAGATGACGGATAAATAATGTATTTAGTGCAGTGCGACAAATGCGCAAAAACAAAATATGTACTATGATTGTTTTGAGTTTTTAGGAGTTGGTTTTTTTTTTCCAATATTTTGAGGTTAATTCCAAATTTCTCTTATCAGTTTTTGGAAGAATTGACCCCAATTCCGCGCGTGACGACCGATGTTGGGTAGCCTACGTGAATGGAACCGCAGTGTTGCCAGATGGTACGATCCTAGTGGGGATAATATTGCTCCCTGTACGATCCCCCACCAATGTACTATATTTTTGAAGAGGCGGTACGATCATCCCTCTTTCCAAACCTGGCAACACTGATGGAACGCCTCACAGCCAGGTAACGGCACATTTTTTCGTGCGTGTAGCCGGCTCCATCGATTTATAAGACGTTATCACGTCAAGAACAGTTTTTTGAATTTCGCGTTTTACATATAATATTACACACGGAAATATCACAATTTTTATAATATATAGAAATACGGAATAACTCGGGTAATAATAATAATAGTATTCGAAAATATTCGTCGATAAGGAAAAGGGAGATAAGCGAGCGAAATAGCGAACGCGCGGGAAGTATTGTTATTGGTCGTCATGGAAGAAACGCGGAGTCAAAAGATACAGCATTAACCAAAGTTTTTGGTTACTTTAATAATCCCGATAACTGTTTATTTGTTGAATTAATAACTTCATTAGAAGAAATTTGTGAAAATACAAATATTAAACCAGAAGCACGACTAAAGGCTAGTGGTTTTATGGAAGGACTGTGTAAATATGAAACAATTTTAACAGCACAAATATATTTAAGAATTTTTAATAAAACCACACCTTTATCCAAATACCTTCAAGGTTATGGTGTTAATTTAGTTTCTGCCCACCAAATGGTAACTCAAACTCTTAATGATTTGAAAAAAATTGATCGTGATTTTCCCAGCATCAAGCAAGCTGCTGTAATTTTTTGACATGGGCAAACAGTAAATTAGAAACAGTAGAAAACACCTCTATCCAAATCAATGACAGTATAAGATCATTTCGACCAAGAAAAAAATCGAAGCAATTTTCTTATGAATCAACTGATAACCCAATCGAAGATCCATTGCAATCGTATACAGTAAATGTGCATAGTATAATATTTGACTCAGTTATCCAAAGTATTGTAGAACGTTTTGAAAAGCACAAACATTTATATGGTGACTTCAATTGTTTGGATCCAAATAATTTTTGTATTGATGAACCTCTACCAGAAGATTCACTAAAAAGTATCCATTTAAAGATTGTACCATTTATGCCAGATTTGTCTCATGGACAGCTTTGTCAAGAGTATAATGACTTTGTTTCCAAGTGGCCAAAATTAAAAAGAAATTGTATAAGTGATCAATATAAGGAAGATATTGAATTAATTTCAGATGGAGAAGATAATGGTTTGTATGCTTAAATTATAAGTCTATTGGTTATGTCTTCAGTTTACCTATAACATTTTTATTCTTTACAGAACAAAATTATATGGATAATGAAAGATGTTCTCATAATTCTGATGAAACAGAGGAAAAGTGCTGCGTTGTTTGTTGTTTTAGCGTAATAGTTAATTATAATTTATTTAGTAATGCTTACCCAGGTCTGTATTTTGCATATAAATTGTTACTCACGTTTTCAATCACTCAAGTAGGATGTGAACGTAGTTTTTTAAAACTTAAGTATGTTAAAAATTATTTAAGAAATTCAATGTCACGAGAAAATTTAAAAAGTTTTATGTTAATGTGTGTTGAAAAAGAAATGTTAACTGAAATTAACCCTAATGATATAATTGATAAGGTGGCTGCACATATAGATTCTGGCGTTTGTCATCCCGCCTGCGGCGGAAAGACTGTGTGGGCGGTGGTGCATCTTTGTCGTAGCTGCCCGTGTGCCTCGATTCCGGGGAAGCCGCCTCCAGCGCCTTCGAGGTGGTCGAGCGAAAATCGTTTCACGGGAAATTCGAAAAGAAATTAAACCGTACCGAAAACTGTGACTGAGTGTCTAGCGGTCTCTCCTCGTCTGGTGTAATACCGTGCCCCGGTGTATGCCCGGTTCTGTTTTGTTGACTGTATAAGAAATTAGGAATTTCAAATAATTGTAATCGAATGTCTAGCTATCAATCATCGTTGTATGCAAATCCATGAGTTATAGGGCATCTGTGTATGACGGATTGGATACATGACCCGTCGCATGCCCTGTTCTTTTGTGCGTGCAAAAAGGATAAATGCATAAAGAAAACGGTAATTGTGTGTCTAGCTTTCAGTCCTCAACCAGTACAAATTTGCGCGTTTACTGGGCATACCTCCTAACGTCGATAGTCTGATGTCATATTATTGTAGGAGAAAATGTTAAAGCCAAATGTCAATTGAATAAAAAGGTTAAGTAGTCGATTTAAAGGCAATCATACTTCCCAGGTATATAGGTGTCTGGTTGCGAACGACCTGTGCATACCAAATGAAATTAAACCATTCCATAAAGCTAATTAAATGCTCTAAATTAATTATATGTCTATAAAATTAATGTAGGTGTGGAGTACCTATCATAACGTTATTAAGTATTTGGTACAGTTAAATGAATATATCTGTAGCCTATAAAACATCGGTTAAATGTATCATGTTGTATATATGTGTGTTGTGCACATGCTTATAGTTTTTGGTTTTTAAAAGTGTTTTTAATACTATCAATCACAATCTTTTACAATTTTAGGTTTAATATAAGTAAGTAGTAATGTATAATAATAATAAAAATAGTAAATATGAACATGGATTATTTGTTTATTAGTTATATTTTTTATATTACAAATAATATATAATCAATTAGGTAATACTAATCAGTATTTGCATAATATTTTTACAATGAAAATTATTTGCGGTTGCAAAATATCTAATCACACCTCATTATGTTGATTACATACAAAAGACATTGCTAAGAAATACAAATTCAAACATACAATATAGTGTAGTTTAATGATGTTTAAAAAAATTAAATTGATTCGTGCGTCGACTGCAATACGTAGAAATCAAACATATTATACATGCAACAAAATTGAAAATCTCTTACAAACCTATTGGTCGTAGTATAATAGATATATGCTTTTGAAATTATAATAATTTGTGTATGAAACTTACTATTAATCAATTTAAAAGTATATATATGCATGTGCTACATCGGTTACAAATTAACAATGAATAATAATTAAGTGTTAGGTGTAGGAACTCTTATGATTAACGGAGTGTGGTTTAGTTACAAATTAGTAATCATTATTGATACAATGATGATTCTTTTTGTTGTGTTTCTGTTAGGTACATCTGCATTGATGAAGTCTTTTCTAGTATAATGTTTCTGAAATAATAAAAATGCATACAATTATTTACTGATATATTTTGAGAGTACATACATAATTCTAAATAATTTACCACATAGTGTGCGAGTCGCAGCCAGTTTAAATGCATTTTTGACATTTGATAGAAATACAATAACAAAATCCGCATCAAGAGAGAAGCACGTAGAGGTTGTCGAATTTCCCCTATGTCTTGGTAGCAGTACAATAATGATTCTGTTACTGTTACACCTGCATTGATAAAGTAATTTCTAGTATAATGTTTCTGAAATAATACAAATGCATACAAATATCTGCTGATATATTGTTAGAGTATATAAATAATAATTCTAAATAATTAACCACATAGTGTGTGAGTCGCAGCCAGTTTAAATACATGTTCGACATCAGTTACGTATTCATTACAAAATCAGCATCCAGAGAGAACCACGTGGAGGTTGTCGAACTTTCTCTCCTCCTCGAATCGTACTTACGACTGCTTATGAACCATGTGTCACACAGACTTGGATCACACAGATTGGATTCGATGTTCATTAAGTTCTTGTAGACTTCATTGTACAGTTATATCGCTTGTAGAACTTCTCTGTACACAATGTTCTTAGTGACAAATCTACCACGGTCATCACTGTACATACCTACTCTAATGGATTGAGAGTCCCTCACTCGGGAAAACGCTACAGACAGTTGTCCGTGCGTGAACACCGGTGATGGCAGGAGCAATCCAACTCTATCAAACGTTTGTCCCTGTGACTTGTTAATGGTCATAGCAAACGACAAACGTACTGGAAATTGCACTCGTCGCATTATAATGGGCAGGTCGTCTTCGCCACTTGACGTGAGCGGTACCGCAGGTATGACTATATCTTCCTGTGCACCACCAGACAACATCCTCGCTTTGAAGTTGTATCGACGCAGTTCAGTAACAACCAACCGTGTACCATTGCAAAGACGTCTCTTAGAATCTAGGTTCCTAAGCAACATGACAATAGAACCGACCTTTAGCGTCAAGTTGTATGGCGGCAGTCCGTCCGGTTGCAGAGTGTTGAGAAACTCTGTCGGATAATTGGATACTTCGTCGGGGTCGTCGACCACCACAGTGTCTATGGCCGTGTAGGTTCGGTGAACTCCGTCAATGCGTTGTACACAGTATTATTGACCTGCCTGCATTCGTCGTTCCTGGGACATAAAATTATTTTCCGAGCAAACTCATTGACGTTAGCCAACGACATTCGCTTCGGAAAAACAAAATCAATCAAATTAGCGACCTCACATACCATTTCCCGGGGTATTTCAACAGTGTCCTGAGCACCGTCGACCGCTGGCAATTGGCCGCTCCCGAGCTGAAGCAACCATGTTGCGAAGTCAGCGTCGTTATCGGCGCGCATGTTCCGCGTCAAATTGAACTGTTCCAGGTTGCGCCACAAAGAGTTGTATTTGATAGACGACCTGACGATGTCACTCCTTGTTCCCCTGCGCACGACAGGTAGAATCTGCCTGAAGTCGCCGGCGAACAATACCGGCTTACCGCCGAACGGCAATTCTGAATCCATGATGTCCTGGAGCAACCTATTGACCACTGTGAGTTGTAGTCCCGGAGACATGGGCGCTTCGTCCCAGACGATGAGTGCTGCATCACGTATCCTCTGAGCACGCAACGACTGCAAGGTGATGGTCGACGTCGAATCGTCGTTCAGTGTACCGAACGGCAATCCAAACGTCGAGTGCACTGTCATGCCGCCGTCCATGAGCGACGCTGCTATTCCTGTAAAAGCCACGGAAAAAACGGATAGCCCTTAATCGCGAAGTGACCATATGAGGCACCCGTATAGTGTTGTTTTACCTGTTCCTCCGGGACCGTCAATGTAGAAAAGTTTTGATACGTTTCTGTTGTCGTCTAATGCTGCCATCACACGATTGAACACTGTCCGTTGTTCGTCGTTCAATTTGTCCAATTGTACGGCCCAGCGCACCGCCGCGTCTATAGCACCAAACATGTCATCGTCCGGGTCTTCTTCCAGCAATGTGACGTCCGGGTCTTCTTCCAGCAATGTGACGTCCGGTAGTGGCAAACCGTAGTCCGCAATCGATTTCCCGTGACCACGAAGCATCCCGTTGATTGCGTCCAAACACGCAGCCCTCGCTCGGTCAATGTCCCTCAATCGGTGATTGAAATCGTGCAACATGTGAGGTTCGCTGGCTTGATACAACGCCAGCGGGTTTGTGATCTCGCAGTGCAAAAGCATCGTCACAAAGAGGTAAAGAAGCTGGACTGGAGTGTCCAATGTTGCTGATTCGGCTATGCACTCCAACATAGCTCGGTCGTCTTCCACAAGTCCCATCGCGACGGCTGCAGCCGCGTATGTTGGATGCTCTACCCCGTCTACTTTCCTCATGTCCCGGAAACACTGTGGGCCCCTCTTGTGTAGGAGTAGTAATCGTAGGTAGAAACGATCGCGATCAAGTGGGTTGACAACGTACATTCGAGCCAACGTCTCGTACGTCATCTGTCTTTGACGTCGTATCCACGTTCTTCTAGACGCGTTCCAAGTGTAATGTACCGGTATCTCTTGGTAGAGGTACTGTCTAGCGTCTTCGTCTGTTGAGGTCGAAGAATGCCGTGAGTTTGGTTCTAGCCAGAGCCGCGTTCTGCACCCGCTCTAGTACCTCTCCAGGTCCAAAGTACACGTTGTGATAGTCTTCCAGGTGGACAGGTAGTCTATTGATCGTATGACTCTTGTTATGCATTTCATACGAAAATAACCTCCAAACAGCTTCTGGTGGACTGAAGTACCGTGAGTTTATGTAACTGAAATCAACATCAACGTATATCATAAATAATCAGGAATAAAATAATATATATATATATATATATGCATACATCTAAAAACATAGGAATGAGATTACCTCACAATGAATATTTGCTTTCGATTACAATAAATAATGTTAGGTTGACGTTGCATACAAATATATCTAATAAGTGTAGAGTGTAGTTAATTATTATTGTATTAAAGTGGTATGCTATGTTATTGTAGTTAACAAAATGTTGTTATTATTATTATTAATCAACTATGTGTCCAAGGAAAATATTAAAACAAATAATAGTTATTAAAATTGAATCATTTTAAATTGAGCAGCATTATTGGTTCATAAGTCACAAAATGAAATGTAATATTATTATATTGTATAATATGAATATTAATGAAAATAAAATTTACCAACAACATCTATCACATATTATACAGAATAACACTTAAGGTAACATTACTGAGATTGATGCATCTTTAAAATGATTTCGGTTGACTGTTGGACAATGTTAATACCATTTTTATCATCATAATAATAATCCAACACAATAATGATAGATGGAATGTAATTTAGAAGTCAACAATTAAAACTATAAGTTTAATTCAATTACTTTTCAATTTCATCTCCATTCCAAATTTCCAAGGTAGCTGCGTCATGGCCCTTGTAGACGTATTTATACAAATACATTACGCTCTTCACGGTAGAGCACACCTCAACGTTTATGTGTGCATCATACTTGACCAGCAAGTATGGGTTGTGTGGGATAACAAACTCATTGCCGACAGGATGACCTCTGACGTTGACCACAAGTCCATTGTTCGGTCTACGATAAGTCGGGTAACCACCATCAGAAATGTATACAGTCTCCTCGCTGTATTCTTTGGGATATTTCTTCGTACAACCGTTGTCCACCATACACGGACTGTTGCGATTGAGTGGTCCACACGGACCATGAATCATGTGCGATTTCACACTGTCGAGTAGGCGCCTTTCGGATGCAGGGTCAGTCAAGTAGGCACACACAACATTGTCGACGTCGTCGGCAGTAAGTAACTTGCTGTCCTCATCCAAGATGATGAGTATATGTGCGTGTGGAAGACCACGTTTCTGAACCAAACACCTTATTGACCGTGATGTCACGCATTAGCTCCTTCAGTTTTGCGTGAAACACCCTCGCCACCAAATCAGGCCTGTCGGTTGCCGTCAACCAACGCGGAATGTTATCTACTATCTCTGGCCACCTAGGGTTACACGTAAATGTTATGAATAAATCAGGCTTTCCGTACTTACGCACAATGGACATTGCGTCGTGGTAACATTGTTTCATGTACCGAGGGCCGCCTAGGAATGTCGAAGGCAGAATTGTCCTGCGGCCGACCGGATTGATTTCGTCTAGGTGGAGCTGTTGGTTAATATGGTCCAGAAGGCCTTGATAGGCGTCAGCAAAGAGTGCTCTCTGGTGGTCTCGGATGTAACGTAGATTGTTCGCTTCCATGCGAACGTAGTGATCACATGTGTACTGCTGTAACAAAAAACCAGCTGCGTGTAATAAACTAAACGTATGGCCTTCATTCCCATTGCTATTGGTTCCGGTGTATCTGATGGCCAGGCGATAAGAAGCAAACTCTCTGATAGAGTTCCGAACACGCACTGCGTTCCGGCGGACGCCCTCTTGTTGCAGGTTGTAATGCCAGCCGGTTTCTCCATGTGGGAAGAGCAATGGATACAGCATTGGATCTGCATGAGGTGAGCCAGCTGATATGCTTTGCATCCGGTGATTTGGGTCAACTGGGTTCGAGTCATAGATGACCAGATCGAGGTTTCCTGGTGGTAGACCATCTTCTCCAACAAAGACAACTGCTACCTCGTTCACATGAGCAGCTGGTTGATTGTATCGCCGTGGGTCATTGTTCGGGTCGGCGACGATGTGCATGGTCACCCTTTTCGGTTGCAACATTGGATTGGCCGCAGCAGCGTCTTGTTCCCTTTGCCATACTTGTCGCATGTTTCTGTAAGAAAATAATATTGTGTTATTATTAAAGCCACATGATATATCCACATTTGTGTACAGTAGATGGATAAAGAATAAATGTTATCCATAGTGCAACTTGATAAATAAATATTACAGCACACAGTATATTTTATGTAATTCGGAAATGTAACATATTACTAAGCACACATACTGGAAACTATGAAATACAATTTTGCATAGAAGTATTAAGTAAAAATGTCGCTTGGGTACAATACACACTGTAATGGAAATGTACACAGAAAAAGTAAAATCAATATATATATGTATATTGTTATATACATGTGACATATATAATATATATATATATATATATAGTATAGTTAATATGAAATTGTAAGGAGCTGTTGGAGTTTAACTGTATCGTTTAAACCTAAAATAGGTTTTTTTAATGAGTAAGTAGTAATTATAATGTAAAGTATAATTTTTTAAACAAAAATGTTGCACTACTGTCTACACGAATGTGTATTCAATGCAATAACCAGTCATTCGTTGTATCATATAGTAATACGTAAAAGTGCAATATCTATACAAATGTAATGTGTGTTCAACACACTACAACTTGAAGTAATATTTTTATTTGATTATGTATATGTTAATAATTTAAAGTAATATATATTACTCAAAAGCCACCGCAAATGGATTGATTCGCCGTAACAGTCTGTCCAAGTCTGCAAGCAAGTTCTCCAATAGTGGTCGTTCACGTGGCTGTTGTGCCATGCGAATCTGATTTGCTGCCCCGGATTCAATAAAATATAACTCACAATACCTTGGTTGCATTAGTTCATTTCTGACAACATCATTACTAATCCTACGATATACTTGCCCGTGAACGGAGAATACTCTTGGTCCCTGACCAGGCAAACGTCTTGGGCTCAGATCAGTGGAGAAAGCCGCAAATGCCAGAGTGTTGTTGTACCTGCGGATTTCTTTTCGAAAGTGTTTTCCTACCTGTGAATCATCAACCAACAAACGAATTAATAACTCTGGCGGTGGACCCAAAACACGGTCTCCTGTAACAGCCATTTGACCGTTATTGCAACACGTAGAAAAATGACCCGTTGAAGTACGCTCGCAGGAGAAATGGCGGGCACCACAGTGCCGGCAGACAACATTCAACGGTCCTAGGTCATGCCGATCTGGAAGTTCGTGTTGAATGCCAGCCGGACGGTCTCTGAAGGCACGTGCTCTCGGTACAACAGGAGGAATCGGTATGATCTGCAATTAAAATGCACTGTTATTAAGAATTTAATGTTATAAATGTTTGTTTTAATTTTAATAAGATGTATTTACTAACTTCTTCATTGACGTCTGGTAATAAAACGTCAATTGCGTCCCTGAATTTAAATTCTGCCTCTGCGTCAGCAGGAAGTAAATCTACATACTCGATGTCATCTTGTACCACTTCCTCTCGTAGCATTTCTTCTTCAGCTAGGTCCATCATTACATCTTCCACTTGGACTTCGACAACTTCTATCTCCATCCCGTTGTTACCGGGGATTGCCACTTCCTCCTGTTTACTAAATTGAACTTAAACCCTTAAAATCTTATTTGGTTTTCTGGTTATTTTGGAAACGTATACCCGTAAAATAAGATTTTACATTGGGTATATGCCGAAAATCGAAAATCTTCTGATGGGTATACGGCGTATACCCGCGTACCCGTACCAATATACCACTGGTAATATTATAATAATTAATATTATATTGATAGTTATAAATATAGGTTAATATAACCATAGAACAATATGATATAATTGAGTAATAATAATGAGTAATATAATTAAATTACAATAAATATTGTATTATTGTTCATATACAATAAAATATTTTCTATAGTTTGCCTACACTGTTTTGTTTCCATTTCCGCTTCATATTATTTCAATTAGGGCGCCTCTATATACTCTATGTATGCAATATTGACTGTTGTTATCACTTATCAGTGCCCGATGATACGGCAACACGGGAATTCCAAGAGTTTTGTGTTATATTTAGAAAAAGTGTGTATACGGTACACGTGTAATGATGGTACGCATAATATACACAGAAAACAATGTTTAAGAAATTTTCCAGAATTACAAAACAAAAGCGTAAGAAGAGAATTCAAAAAAAAGTCGCGGTGAAAAAGCGCGACGTACGTAACGGGAATGTATTTCAACAACTACCGACCGATGATCTCGGGAAGGAATATAGAAATGACATCACACATTGAAATGCAAATAAAAAAACGCGACACCTTCGAGACACCAAGTTTGGATTTTGAGGGAGCACGCTCGGGAAACAATGCATGTCGCTTTTTAAATCAGGCGTAACGTCTTAATAATTGGGTGACTGTAATGGTGTATAAGTACACGGGGTGAACAATTAAGCTTTTAAATAATAAAAAAATAGCACTCACCAGTCTACAAAACGCCAAACGTAGTAAAAAAAAAAAAGGTAGTAAAAAAAAGGTAAGAAAAAAAAAGTGCAAATTTGTGTATTAGTATACGCAATAACAAAAAAACGAACGTTCAGCACAGACGCTCATAGGCTGATAACTCATATACTCGATAGTCGACCAACGATTTAGCGACAATTGTTACCAACTTCGTAATGAATATTATATTTTATTACGCATTGCTACCAACTATTCTTTAACAATAATATTACCATTTGGGTATTTTCCAACGCCAATACGCCATGGATATATTTAGACCATTTAACATTATTCTATGTCATGACTAATGAATTATATTTATTTTTGTTTTCGTTTTCTGTCTGATTTGCGAAATGCGAATTCGAACACAATTATAGAAAATTAAATAAATATTGTTTTTAATACAAGTTACAGCATAGAAAGTTACAGTTTACAGTTTACAGTTTAGTATTTAAAGTGTGGTGTGTTGTTTATTGTTACTTAAAAGTGAAAATGCCTTCACAAACTTGTATCGTAAATTCTTGTAAAAACCGTAATGGCATTAAACATAGGTTTCCGAAAGACGATTTTTTTTTAATACTTGGGTTGTAAAGTGCAATAATAAAAAGTTAAATAACTTAAATATGATTGAGACATATGAAAAATATGTAGTTTGTGACGTACATTTTGAGGCGAAGTTTAAAATTATGGGTACAAAACGGCTACATAAAAATGCAATACCGACTTTGCTAATGCCTACAAGTAGTCTTATATTATATTACTAGCTCACAGCCTTGTTGTCATGACAAAATATATTTTGTCATGCGTGTTGGTACTTTTACATTGTTTTTTTTTTTTCATAGATACATTGAACTTTGAGTCTGACAATGTTATGGTAAATGATGTAAATGAATTAAGCCTTGAATTTGCACATATTACAAGTACTGAATCAAATGATATTGTTGTGGTTAATGAATTTGATCATGGTAAGTATAAGTAATATTTTGAATTATAAATTAAAAAGTATTTTACTAAATATACATTGTTTTACAGATACAAGAACTGAATCAAATGATATTGTTGTGGTTAATGAATTTGATCATGGTAAGTATAAGTAATATTTTGAATTATAAATTTAAAAGTATTTTACTAAATATACATTGTTTTACAGATACAAGTACTGAATCAAATGATATTGTTGTGGTTAATGAATTTGATTATGGTAAGTATAAGTAATATTTTGAATTATAAATTAAAAAGTATTTTACTAAATGTAGGTACATTTTTTTTAATAGATACAAGTGTTATGTTAGATGACAAATCGACGAATAGAGAAGTCAATGTAAATTGTTTCATCGATCTAGACAGTAGTGAGCTGAATGGTATTTCATATTTGGATGGTATGAATAATTATTCCCAAAAAGGTAGGTACCTAAATATTTTTATCCTTGACTATTAGGCAAAGATTCATGATTAATAATATTTAATAATTTTATTTCAAGGTATTTGTCATAGAAATGTAAGGAGTGATGTCAAGAGAAAGGGATGTTTGAGAGAAATAAACCTGTCACGTATTAAGTACATGACTCCCAGGAAAAAACATTTCCACCGTGCTATTGTCGATTTAAAAAAAAAAATATTAGTCAACAATAGAAGACACTTGACGACTAAGAACAAATTAATTGAAGCAAGAAATTATATAAAGAAACATGGCATGATGATTGAAAAAATGAATGAAACTTCAATGAACTTTTTCAAAACACAATTAAAAGTCCAGAGTGTTTTACCAAGAGGAAGGAGGTTTTCAATAGATGATAAGGTGTTTGCTTTATCGTTATATAAATCTAGTGCTAAAACCTATCGTCTTTTGTCAAAGACTTTTGCTCTTCCATCAAGGAAAACTCTTATGAATTTACTACGCAAACTTCCTCTAACACCTGGAGTAAACCATCTAATTTTTAACCATTTAACAAGCATTGTAGGCGATTTCAAAAACGTTTTAGATAAAAATTGTGAACTCCTGTATGATGAAATTTCACTAGCCGCAGGTATCCAGTATTGTGAATCAGAGGATAGAATAATTGGACTTCAGGATTTGGGTAATAATAACAGGACACTTAAGTTTGCAGATAAAGCTTTGACTTTTATGGTTCGAGGTGTCAAGCGCAAATTTAAGCAACCTGTTGCGTTTTACTTAACAGAAAGTGGAATAAAAACACCAGATTTAGTTGTTGCTTTGAAGGAAATAATAAGGGCTGTTCAGTCTACGGGTTTGAAAATAATAGCAACTGTTTATGATCAAGCACCAATAAATGTAGCAGCTAATAACATACTTCTTAAGGAAACAGTTGAAAGCTACACTCGAAAAGGTCTTGAAAAACAATGTCTCGGCTTTGAGATTGATGGACACGAAATTGTTCCATTATATGATCCTCCACACCTGTTGAAAGGAGTAAGAAATAATTTGGTAACTAAGGATTTAACATATTATGTTAACGGAGAACAAAAAATTGCCAAATGGAGTCATATAGTTCAATTTTATGAGATTGACAAGTTACGACTTGATGTAGGAGAACGGATGACACCAAAACTTACAGATGCTCATATCTACCCAGATAAAATGAAAAAAATGAAGGTGTCAGTTGCTGCTCAAGTACTGAGCCAAAGAGTAGGCGCCATCATGCTTATGCTGTCTGAATGGTCTGGTGAGTACCTTACTATAATATTTAACAATGATGTTTATATGACATATCAAAAACTGTATACTAATCAATATTATTTCAGGCGAAAAAGATGACAAAATTAATTCTTCTGCAGCTGACACAGCCAAACTATGTTTGTTCATGGAGAAACTATTTGATAGTGTCAACAGCAGTTCTACATCAATTATTCCGGGTAAAGAAATGAGGAGTTCCGTAACTTCATTATCACCCCATTGGAAATTTTGGGAAGAAGCATTACAGATATTAAATATTATGAAATTTCCAATTAACGTTCCCACACTTAAAAACTGGGTAACTACAATAAAAGGCATCAAATACATTTGTAAAAAACTTTTAGGTGATGGTTTTAAATTTATTACACTTAGATCTTTTAACCAAGACCCAGTAGAAAATTTATATGGTCAAGTTAGAAGCCATGGGTGTCGTAATGTAAACCCAACTTGCTCAAATTTTCAATCATCTTTTAAATCATTAATGATCAATAACTTAATGTCCTCTCAAAGTGTGGGAGCTAACTGTGAAGATGACAATTATGCAAATTTAACAAATTTTAAAAAATTACTGTTTACAACAAATATCTCCGAAAGTCCTCCAAAAGCATTATCTTCATTCTCTGAAATTAGTTTCCCTGAAAACATTAACATTCCTAAGAAAAATACTAAATTAGCTTTGGTTTGTCAAGCTTATGTTGCAGGTGCAGTCACAAAAAAAGTTAAAAAAATTACAAACAACTGTAAATTTTGTTTTGAAATTCTAAATTCGGAAAATTCTAGACATAGCCAAATAATTAGTTCTAGACAATATGACAATTGTAGTCTTCAAACACCATCAATCATCTCAACTAATATTTACTTTATATTTCTTAATGAATTTAATTCCCATATTGATTTTTTTTTTGCCAACCCTAATATAAAATTAAATTTTTTAAATTATATACAGCCAAAAATTAAATTTGTTTCTTTATGTTTATCACATGACACTAAACAATTGTTTTTAAATCATGCGTTTAGAATTGTTATGTTTTCTTATGTTACAAATATTAATAGAGTATTAAAAGGAGAAAAAATGCAGAGTCTATGTTCTGAACCAAATAATGTAATTTCTCTAGCTGCAAATTATCATAAACGATTTAAATTAAAGAAACACAAAGTTTTAAAAAATTGTAATATAAAATAGGTAATTAATTAATAGAAAAAATTATACATATGTACCTAGTTATCTTGTATACTTATATTTTTATTGTTGTATATATAGTTTTATTATTTATCTGTTTATCTGTATTTGCTTTTTATTATTTAAACGGATAACAAATAAAATAAGTATGTAAAAATTACAATTTGTTTTTACTTACTTAAGTACCTACCTA